TGTGTATGTGTGTGTGTGTGTGTGTGTGTGTGTGTGTGTGTGTGTGTGTGTGTGTGTACAATATGGGTTAGTAGATTTGGAATATGTGGCAGAGGAGTTAGTGGAGAGTAATGTGAGACGGGGGTATGGGACTCTAAGTTTAGACTAACCCCCTGTTAGCTCACTCACATGCCTGTGTGTCTCAGGCAGAGCTCCCTGCAGGGAGATTCCCACACTGTTGCATTGTGGCATTTGTACAACACTGAAACACACATTGTGGCACCACGATTACAAATTCATCAGGCTTTGTAGACCGATCAGTTTTATTCCCACACTCTAACATTCTTTCATTCATTAGAAATAGAGTAGAGACTTTACACAAATAATCAAGCCACTCGTGAAGGAAGTGCAGTGACTTCATGACAATCACTACCCATTTAAAGCTTTGCATTCCATGCTATAACCTGCTGACTGACATCAACTTTATGGTTATGTGGCTAAGTACAAAGTACAGCTGTGTTGAACGTGCTAAATAGAAGAAAGTTCATGACGCAGTGAAAATCACGCACTAAAAGTAAAGAAAAAAACAAACATCTCTTACCTCTGTGTTGCCGCCAGCTCTCCCTTCGCAAGTCTTTCCTCAAGTGCGTGGCAGAATGTGTGTATCTCTGTATCTCTGTGTATGTGGTCATATGTGGTCATATGTGTGTGTGTTTGTGTGTGTGTTCTGTTTCACCGTTTAACTGGTGAAATGAATCTCATGACAGCTGCTGAAACCTGCTGCCGTTCTCCACTGTCAACCCCCCAAAAAAGCACAAGAGAGGAAAAACAGAGAAAGAAAAGTGTAAGTCAGTGAGTGAAAGTGTGTGTGTGTGTGTGTGTGCGCGCGTTTGAGCGCTACACAGGCTATCCCAGGCGGCATGTCACTGACTGAGGAAGTTTTCTTTGCTGTTAACTCCTCCCATCATTTCTTTGGGATGAGGGTACAGCCTCCCCCTTCACTCCCTCTCTCTCTCTCTCTCCTTCTCACTCACCCCTATCCCCACGCACACACACACACATACACACACTCCTCCTCCTCCTCTGTCAAAATTTGGAAACATATGAGTCTACAACAGGACTGAAGCAGTGAAAAGAGGTCAGGTTATAATTATGCTTTAATCTTTCTTGAGCTATTAAACCGAGGCAATTATGTGACACCTCTCCCCATTCAGAGTTGTAAAAGCACAATAATAACAGTGCAGTTCCTCATTCTACAACACCAGTCACACCAGTTTGGTTTGACACACCCGCAATCGGAAGAGGACAGCAGATTAAAGTTGCAATCAGCTGGTTTATACAATTGTTCGGTCCATACCTCAGAAATCGCTCGTCTTCATTCCACAGGTGTAGTGTCTTGCCTATTGGGTTACACACACACACACACACACACACACAGAACCTGCATTCCAATGAAGGAACAGCACATTGAGTGCCTGGAAATGTGAAGTATTTACCCTTATGTGTAACGTGACAGCACAAAACAAAGGGATACAGCAGTGACCTCTTTTCATCTTTGACACTCTTTCACTTTCTGGGTCATGTCCATTCCTATCTGTGTGAGGGGAGATAATAATCCCCAGACCAGCAGTGCTTTGGTTTCTTGTGTTGTTGTTTTTTTTTTTTTTTTTTTTTGCCTGCTTAGTTAAATATAAACTCTGGAACTGATTGTGTATCCCCAGCCCCCAGTGCACCATGACAAAGTCACCCTGAACACAGAATATCAGCCCTGCACTGAACATGTGATCGTGCAATTGGCTATGCAAGGCTGCAGGACACAGACCATTTATTCTGCTCTGTTTGCAAAAGTGTGTGTGTGTGTGTGTGTGTGTGTGTGTGTGTGTGTGTGTGTGCATGTATGTTTGTCTGAGGCACAGGGGGAATGTGGGTGTATTAAATGGCAACAAATTACAAATAGACAGGGATGGGGGGAGATAGCAGCGTAGCATTACAGGCTGTGTGTGTGTGTGTGTACTTTCCCCAGGCCATGTGTTTGGACAAAGGGCAAGGATTGAGAGGGTTAGCAAAGAATGCAGCATATTGCTGATCAGTGCTACTGATAGTGGACACATGGCCTGAGTGTGATTGACAAACAAAAGACACATTACCACCAATTGAAAAACACTGAGAGGATGATCAGGCAGCACAGCGCGGCAACACATCGGTGCCTGCAACAAAACATGATCATGTCATGTGTTCAGCTATTCCCAAAAGACACAGTTTGTGCTCAGTGTTGCTGCTTTCTGCTGCCTGGTGTGCTGAACACAACAGTTTCCATTGGACGTAGAAGAGTGATGTCAAGAGTGTGCGAGTTTATTCCAGTAATAACACTTATCAGGGGATGTTTGCCTTCATTGTCGATTAGGGGGCACTGGCGCCTTTGCGGACAGTGACAACACTGACGGCCTCTTGCCCCACTGGCTTCAGTTCACAGGAAGGCCAGCTTCCTGTTTTTCTGCCCCATCAGTTTGGAGGACAAAAGCATAACACAGGATTGACACAGGAGCACAATCAGCACCCGGCACACGTCAGGCCCAAAGGGCACCCACCTATATACCGTCACACGCACATGCACGCATAAACACACCCTGATGAAGATAGTTTTTCAGTCAATCATTATCCATACTGATCATAATCAGCTTTGACTGGGGCACAGTCAGTAAGCACCATTTTTTTCATTTAAGTGACATTATCAGTTGTTTATAGAAAAAACACAAATCCTATTATAAGCAACCTTAAGATGAAGATTCTTCTCCCATACTTTAACTGGACAGGGAATAGGTGAGAGGGTGCCGACTTGATGTTCTTGGATAAACACTATTCCTGTCTGACATGATGAAGGGATTTATAAATCAGCTTTTATCAAATGCAATCAATGTCTTTTTCAATGCAAAATCCACTCCACAGTTTAACAAAGCTCCCTGTTAAAACGGAGCACAAAACTGTGTGAGGGAGTAAAGCAGATTAAAGAACACAGAGAGAACATCTTGTACAAGCACTGAGCTCCAGAACCGAGGAGGTGAGACTGTGAATGGCAGCAGAGAGAGAGAGAGGGAGAAAGAGAGAGAGAAGGAGAGAGTGAGGCGCCTCTCACATCCCGCCATTGTCCAGCTTCCTCCAAGCTTCAGAACCAGGGCTTCCTCAGGACATGGGGCAAGGCATTTGGTTAGTTTAATAAAAACAGCACACACATACAGCTTAATAAATCAGCACACACACACATTAAGTGCAAATTCTCAGGTTTTTTTTTAAATTTGATTTGCAGCTTACAGTAACGTTGTGGCAGGCATTGGATACAGGCTACAAAAGTGCTTATCATTATCTTAATATTTATATACATTGTAAATAAATACATACATAAGTTGTGTACTTACAAAAATTACACATGCATAAATGACACAATGTTGTCTTTATGTTTTGATTTTTTTCTGTCACACATAGTTTCCAAATGCTTATTTTTGCTCCTCGTCTTCCTTTTAATATTTATTTTTCTGTTTCCAGGTTCTCTCTCATTTTCTCTTCAATCTTAAAGTCCTGTCATATGTCAGGTCATTGACTTTCAGTTGCATTTGATCAACTTCAGTTGTTTTTAAACGTGATTTGAATTGACAACTGGCTGAGACTGCCTGGGGAAACATGGGCATGGTTGTTTGACCATTAGATGGAGATCTTTCCACACTGAGCCGATTCGATGCAAACACAAGGCTGATCCTTGAAAGCACAAGTCTGCTGTTTATCATACAGTCGACGTGTGTCTGTGACGCCACAATCAGTCACTGTGGGGCCTGTCCGTCAGCAGCTCCACCGGAAATAATCCAATTAACTAATTTGCTTACGCCGATTTTCCAGAAGAGGGCGGTGTCATAACAGTTTTAGCAACAAGCCCAGCCCAGCCCTGCGAAAACACCAACAAGTCGCCTGAGAGGGCTTCTCCAGATTCTCTCAATTTGTTTCAAGTGTCCTACTCTTTGTTGTTTTTGTTTTTTTGATTGTTTTTATTTTTGAGAGTTTTTTTTTTTTTTTTGCTCCTGTCACCCGTATTTTTCTGTCCAGCATCAAATGACGCTGGTTTGACTAATTCTTAAATGAATTTAAAATGCTTCAGACAAGGTGAGGCCTCACCTCGTGTGAAAAGTGAATTAAAGACTAAGACTAATGACTTTTGAACACTTAACACTTTTTGCAGTGTGATGTAGGCCATAGTGTCCCCAAAGCCTCCACAGCAGCCCAGAGTGACGTCGCTAACCCAGGATAAAAAGAGAGAGTAGTCAAGTCATCCATAGACAGCCACAGCAATACAGGAAATAGGGCAACTTTGCTTTTACAATAAAATCATATATTTTTTTTATATAGTTGCTTGGCTTCCTGATCTAATTGACATCAAATAGGCTGCTTGTTTTCACTTTTATTTGAGGACATATTTCATGGCAAGTGCAAGTGTGCTGTGAGACAGGTTCTAGTACAGCCTAGGTGCTATACCTTTTTTATAAATTAATATTTAATGGATGACCATATATTTCAAGTTAATGTGTAAGGTGAAAAATATAGGCTAATGCTTAAAATCTACTTAAGATGTTTACAATTTAAGAGATTTTGTAAATAAGGTGTTCAAGGGGGTTTAGTTTTGGTGTTTTGAGGACTCCTGTACTATATTGGGCTTACCATAATAACAATATTTCGAATTGATGTGTAAATTAAGGAAAAGTAATGCACCCCTTAAATTCGCTACTAAATATCATGTGTTTTTAAGGGGTTTATTTTTTGCCCTTACAAAATAATGTAGGGCTACAAATTGGGGATATCTGGCAAGCATACCTAAAACTGTGATTTAGATTAAGGTGTTGGTATTTCAGGGCAGACTCATTTTATTTTGAAAGCGGAGGACACAGTGTTTCCTGTGAGTGTGTGGACAGTGTGTGAGAGGCGCGCGGTGACAGCAGCAGCACACCGCCAGGGAGAGCGCGGCGGAGCTGCAATGAGCCGGGAGCGAAAATGTGAAGGTGGAATCGGACTGAGCAGCATTGTGTTGTAACCGGCGTCTGTTTCTCGGAACGAAACAGAGCCGACACTCCCACACAGCAACAACAGCAGCTTTATTTGGATTTTATCATCAGTGGAAATATCCTCGCTCATTTATCTTTTCTTCTATATTTTTTTTGAACCCCCTCTTACTGCCAGTGTGCACCTTCTCACAAATTGACTGGAAGCTGTGTTACGGAGAGTGTGGAGCATCCTTTACGTTTAGTGGATATTTCTTTATAGTTGCACAATTTGCAGGGAGCAAAGTGCTCCGTGAAGATCTGCTCTTGCTTTATGGGATTATTTTCGACGGAGCCGCGTTGTTTCAGATAAGAACACATTGGGCATCATGAGTTCCAGTGGTAAGTCCATTCTTGCGCGCTTTATCTCTTCACTTGAAGCGCAAGGACAATACCTATAGATGAGAGCAGAGAGAACTACTGTAGAACAATAGAAGCCTATATCGTATCTGCTAGAAGAGGTTACAGGTAATAAACATTTTAAAACAAACGTTTAAGTCAACAATCTTCCTTCACCTATACAAGAATATTACATTTCACAGTCTTTAAATTTTTTTTCCTGTTTATCCAAAAACAAATATGTGGGGCTGATGTGAGAAATGCCCCCACAAACAGGCTGATGTGTGCCAAAGCTGTATAATAGACTTGGAGCAGGTTTAGAGAGGATAGGAGAGCTAAGTATATCTGGAGGTCAAAGTAGCATTTGCCCAGAGTTCAGATAAGAGAAGCATTTTTGGGATTCTTCATCTACATAACAGCTGTTGCTTGGACCCTCCCAATGTCTGCTTCTCCCCTCCATCACTTCTCTTTCATCTTCTCCTCTCCTTCCTTGTCCTCCTCAACACCAGTAGTAGCCTATAGTGCATTTGACCTCTCTTGGGGAGACCGCCTAGGCTTTCAGCTGTTGCCTCTTCATAAAAGTCCACCTGTCCTCCAACACATGCAGGGTCGGGAAAGCCTTCAGCTGGAGGTTTCTGACCTGACCGCTGTTGGTCTCATGGAGTTTCATTATGTGTGATGCAGCACATGACGAATAACTCTGACAGCCTGAAGGCTCCTGTCATACTTATCCTAGACCGGCCTGGGGGGGGGGGGGCTGCAGTGATGCTAAGCTGACCTTGTATCAGCTGACTGTGATCCTGATCCTCTGTCAGCTGAATCAGGACTTTCCCTGTAGGGCTGGCTGGGTCAGCTGTGTGTGTGTGTGTGTGTGTGTGTGTGTGTGTGTGTGTGTGTGTGTGTGAGCTTATATTCTTGCCTCCACTTTGTTGTGTTTACAAGTTATCAATGGTTGATGAGGCAGATTTAGATCTTGCACGATCTAAATATTCTTAGATCTTGCACACCCCACCCCCCCACCCACCACACCCACCACACCCCCCTGGTCCCTTAGCTGTCAGTAAGGCCAGTTGAAGTTAATGTGCGCCAGGTGCTGACGGTGTCAGGCACTTCCTGTCCTCCCTCCTCTGTCCTCCGTGTCTACAGGAGTGAACCGGGTATTACTGCATCATTCATAATCCAGCCTGTCATTGTGTGGCACTACATTATTCATCCACTGCTCTTAACCCACTGGTACCGAGCCTTGCCTGACGGGCAGTTCTCGTGCCGTGCGTGCCGGGAGTGGTGTCGCAGCTCCTGGATCACTGAGAAAATACGTAGAATTCTTTTGTTAAGCTTCAAAATGCTTTTCTCAGCTGACACGCAGAGGGGGAGGAGCACATGCGGCCAGCATGTGGAGAGCTGTCACAAGCTTTTTTGTGATTGAAAAGCATGTGCTCAAACAGGAATCCACACAAACACACACATCAACAACACATCAACCTGTGGTTTGCATTTAACCGTGTGTGTGTGTGTGTGTGTGTGTGTCACAGCAGGCAGATGGTGGTGTGACATGTGTCTGTACACTGGCTTTAGGCATAAAAACACAGCTGAGGAAAGAACATCTCCTCTCCTCTCCTCTCCCTCCAGTCAGTCAAACATATGTTTCCCTCCGCTCTCAACACTCTCAAGGTTTGGACACGAATGGGCCTGTTAGGCTGTAGTGTGTGCAGTGTTTTCCGCTGCATTGGGTGTGTTAGCCCAGAGGCCATCGACACACACAGCGTAATTACACACAGCTCTGACTGTCTGTCTTCATCTTCTGGGCCTTCTATCTCTCCTGTTCACTGGGTTTTGTGTGTGTGCTGTGTGCGTGTGTGTGTGTGTGTGTCTGGTCAGACTCTTATTTTCTGCCTGGCTGGCAGACAAGACAGGACTGGGGGTGTAGAAGGTTAGTTTCTGGTGGAAAGGACCTTGGTTTATCATACTCAGATATTCACTCACTGAGAAATAAGAGTAAAGACACAGTTTTGCAAATTTTGGCCTGACTGATAAATCAGAGCATTTCTGAGACACAGCGTACATACAGTATGTGTGTTTCAGGGGAGCGATAAAACACATGTTGATCAATATACTGATCATTGAGCTCAGGGACTTGAAGGGAACTGCAGAGCCATACATCACAGGCAGCACTGACACCTCTCTCCTTCTCTCTCCTTCTCGCTGTGCAGCACAGAGTTCTCAAGTCATGGAGAAATTGAGTGCTGCAACTTGGGACTGTAAATGTTCTTTCACATAATATTGCAGTGTAGCTGTCTTAACTTTAAGAAGACATTGTGCGTCACAGGCAATCTAATGATTAATACATTTTGTTTGAATGCATATTAAGTATGGAAATCGACAGTAAATATAGTTGCCATGCTTCTATTGAAGTATTGTCCATTTTGCTAAGATATTTAGTCTCATGTAAAGTCTATTTAGCCACACTAGCAGTTTTGCTCCGTGGATAGCGGTGTTGGTTTGTTGGCCAGTCGGTCCACCACCACACTGAAATATCTGAACATCGGGTGGATGGATTGCAATAAAATCTGGCGCAAATAATGATGGTCCCAAGAGGATGAGTCCTTATGAGTTTCGTGGTCCCCTGACTTTTCATCAGAGCACCACCAGCTCATCAAAGTTTCCATGTATCCAGTAGAATATCTCATAATCTACCCAGGTGGATTGACATATAGACATTAGTGGTTCCAAGACAATATAACCCAATGACTTTAGTGACTCCCTGACTTTTCATTAAGTGTCACACTGAGGTCAAAATGTAATTTGTCCAATGCTGGCTAATGACCAATTACCTGCAAAACTAATCCCATCAGCCTGAGCTGTACTACTTTGTGTTTAGAGCTAATTAGCAAATGTTAGCACACTAAGCTAAAATGGTAAACATGGTAAACCTTACCTGCAAAATATCAGCATGTTAACATAATGATGCTGATATAAGCAGTTAGATTAAAGGACCATTGTGCCTGTGAACAATGGTAAATTAAGTAAAAAGAATAAATTATAAATCAATTACATGTAATTTCACCTGTTTTTAAGAAGTTTCCAGAGATGTGTCAATAATTTAAAGCACAATTGAATCAAACTGATTGATCCACTTCCAAGAACTGGCAGTTGGTTCAAGAAAGGTCTTGAAACAATCTGATTTGCTTTAAACTTGATTTAGTCTGCACCAGCGTGAGCTTTAGCTTCAGTGACTCACTGAAATTGTTTTGATAATTCTTAAAAAGATTACGCTGACCTGTTGGCGACAATAGAAAGTGTTTCATCAAAGTAGGCGGGTCACCAAGAGCGCAACAATTCTCTCGACAATAGATATACAAATAGAAAGTTCATGGAAATCCGGCCTTTAGTTTTCCTGATGCCTTGTCATAGACCAAAGTCTTCATCAAGGTAATATTATAATTTTATGATGCTGCTGGACAAAATGTCAGGGAGTCCACAAAATCAAAAGAAATGGTCCCCCAGGGAGCCATGAATATTCATTTTAAATCCGGCCAGTACAGTATCAAGATACAACATCTTGGTCAGGGCCAAAATGTATGAATAGTCAGCATGATCCAATGACCCACTGACAAACGTGTGAGAGGGGAAAAAATAACTAAATATATTAATACACAGGATTTAGCACTAGATTAAATGATGTATATTTGCTGCACCGGTTCCATGTAAATTGTGCTTTTCTTGTTTTATGGGAAGTATCAGCTGCAGTGAGGGTAGACAGGGAGGGGAGCTGCATCATATATGATTCCTGCTCTTCCGCCTCATCTGGTGAACAGTCCAAACCAGAGCCAAGCACCATTTATCACTCCTCCTGCCAGACGCTTTAGTTCAATAACACAGAGAACAAAGGTAGGAGACAAAGATGCACAGATGCAAACACAGATGCACAGATGCACAGATGCACAGATGAATATTCATGTAGCCATGTACAACTGGTATGTATTTACAGGCCAGCATAAAATCGGGCACATTTTTTTTTTTTTTTGTTCATTTACAGCTACAGTTATTGTGGTTACTAAACTGGTGTCCAGTTGGATTTTTGCACAGCTTAATGGAAAAGAAAATTTGGAGACTGCATGGAAATAACATTCGGTTGCCGTTTAATCTGTAAACTCATTCAGCTCATAGACAAACCATTGCAGTTACATTGTTCGGCGTGTCCTCAAGGTTGCTCTCTCTGTGACCTTGGCTTCTGGTAGGATTGAGCGATCATTCAGACTGTCAGTAGCAGTCTGACCCTTCTCTCTCTCTGTAGAGTGACAGTATGTTTGTGATACCGCTGGACACTACCATCGCTCTGATGAATGCTCCTGCCCAAGGTCCTGACAGAGACGAAGGGAGATAAAGAGAGGGAATGGGGGAAGGCCGGGAGTGACCTGATCACTGGCTGTGTTAGATCACAGACAAGGAGGACATGTTGTGAAAATAGACAGTATACCAGATTTCATACTTTGCTGTTTTATGCTGCTTGCTAGCATGTGACTAATTTTCAATGAGCTCATATTAAGTGAGGTGTATGTTCACCTAAAAAACAAAAAAACATGTTTGTCTTAGCCCAATAGACCCCCTCAGAGGGGATGCTGTGAAGCTTATGTTTGGGTTTACTGCTTATCGCATCTCTCTTAGTTACCGGAGGCGATAAACCTTAAGGCTTGTCTACACAGGAGGTTGTTTTTGTTTTTTTAGTTGTCCATCTCGCACATCTAACAGATCAAATGCGTTTCTATTTTAATCAATGGAGCGGTCTACACAATCTGCTTGTGTACTTGTACTTTACACACACACAGCCATAATTAAGTCTTCTTTAGTCCATTTTATGCGTACGGCAATGGTGATTGGGCTCTGAACACTGCCAAAACAACAGTACTGTCAGTGAACGCATCCTGTGCAGACACAAATGGAGAACTGGGGATGCTGTTGCTGCTCCTCTAACATGCTGCTTTCACTTTGCGGGCTGTGTAGACAAAGCTAAACCTCTGAAAATGGCATGGGCTCTGGGTGGATGAGGTAATTGTGCAGTTGTTAATGAAACAACACTTGATTACATAATAATGATTACACAACAAATGAAATGTAGGGAAAGATCGTGGTCTGCTTTAATACAGAAAAAAGTTCACAGTGACTTCAGACACAAAGTGTTTATTTACATTTAACCCGAACCATGATCTCTCGCTGACTTTAACCAAAGTGGCTTTGTTGCCTAATCCTGACCACAGACTTGTGTGCCTTGTACGTCATCCATTCATCCCAACCACCTGCTGATGACTTTGCTGCCCTCAATAAATTCATTTATTCATTCATAAAACAAAAAAAAAACAAACAAAAAGTAATTCAAACATTATATTCAAACAGTTTATGAACGTAATTTCTAGGAGACTGGGCTGATTAGAAATGTCTGTCATCATCTGAAAATGTCAGCATTTTATAATTGGATTAATCTTGAATTTAAAAAACTCAACAGAAGTCCCTCAGTGGTTTTCTACTGAGGTATTGCTACCAACTTTCTTTTAGCACAGAATAATATGTGCTAGCAGTCGTGACTGAGATGTGTACAGCTTGTGTGTTTGTACATGAAACTGTTTGCTTACCAAGAACCACAGCACTATTGCTAAAATGAGTAGAGTTTTTACATCCATTTTTACATCATAATAAACCATTTGTAATCCACCTGTTAATAAGAAGCCATTCCAGGCAGAATTACTTTGCTTTGGATTGTTGTTATTAGCTTATGAAAATTTAAGTTATTTATCCCGCAAATAGGTGGCTTAAAAACTGTGACTGAGTTGAAATAGACTTGTTTTAAACCTGGCTTAGGCCTGCGGTCTGTCTGCATGACAGATGCTGATCCAAAGTTGTCCCTGTGTCCAAAATTCATACAGTGAAATAATATAACTGATGAGGAATGAGCATGTGAGTAAAAACTACACAAAACTTTGGAAAGCAGACTTGCAAAGCAACATATTTTTCCTCTTAATAATTCGTCTACACGGTCTTTGTATTGCTTCTCTTTGATTCTTTGCCCTGCTCTTCACTCGTCTCCCTCGTCACCACCAATCTCCCAGCATCCCCTGTGACTCAGTTCCCAGCATGTTCTTCCCTGGGGCTGTCAGGTCAGGGGCAGAAATAGCAGCAGCCTCTCAGTCCCTGGGGATGCTGTCGGGCTCTCTGACCCTGGCCCTGTTCTTATCACCTGTCTGCCGGAGGCTGTATTCTCCCAGGGCACTTGCCGCTGATTTGGAGTCAGTGGATTACACCTGCAGTTGGGTGGCTATCATTAGAAGAATGACTCAACACCTCAGCATGGGAGAGGATGGAGGGTTGTTTGAGAGCTCTGTAATGGGTTTAGATGGGGAGAGCTTGGCTGCGTTCAATGAGAATGGCCGCACTGACACAATTAGATAGAGTTACGTAATTCCTCAGCCTCTGAGCTGATTGTGTACCTGGACTCTCTGCTGAGGTGTGGCTTTTTGTCATCAACATTCAACAAGTTACATAAGCATCTCATTAATTCACACACACTTGTTGAAAAATACCAAGAATGCTTGCTCTTTACCGCGCCTCTGCCTTGAAAACTGCACTCCTGTATAATTTTAGTATGTGCTGATAATTTTCTTTCAGCACTTTGCTCAGTTTTGATGTATTTTATTCCCTTTATACAACTTTGCCTGGCTGGGCTGTGAGAGCAGAGGATGTTATACTATGCCAGAGGTTTGTTTTGGCCCACTTTCAGAAGGTCAGCATTATAAATACATGTCCTGTGTGTTTCCAGTAGGTGTTGGCACTGTTGCATGTACTGCCATTAGTTCCCATTATCTCTCATTCACACCTGATGGGATCAGTGTTGCTCCAATTTGGTTTTACCACAAGACTGCCTTCCTTTTGCCTGGTCTCACAAACACATTTTCAAGGGAGTGTCATTATTTGAACCAGTGGCTGGGCACTTATCAGGCAGGGTAGTCGGTCCCAGTGGTGCTGCCAGCATTGTGGGGGAAACAATGAACTAACACAGAGTGTGGGAGACTGAGAGTGGGAATTAATCATGCTTGCATATTTCCATTGCCCACAGTTCTGTCTTGTACAGAAAAGTAAACAACTACACTCATGCATACATTTTCTCTTGCACCCATGGATGTATGTCCTCACGCTCAGCCTGCCCCACGCATATACTGCTGTCAAGCTCGGAGCATGCAAAGGGTGCTCAGGCTGTGAGGCATGCAAGGCTGTTAGACTTTTTAAGTGCTGAGAGTCCTTCGAGATTCATCCAGTGAAATGGAATCAGTAGCTGCATGAAGCTGGTTGCCCTGCCATTATACCCCTTCCACCGAGTGTAGGACCACTCAGATGCTCCTTAAAGAAGATGGGAGCTAAATAAGAGACAGTGAACCCAGCTGTTCTGGCACAGACTGCCAGAGTATTGGGAGGCTGGTTGTCTCTGCTTGTGTATGCAAGAGAATCTGTTTACTGCCTTGAGGATGAAGATGGACCTTTTTAAAGAGCCTCTAATAACCTAAGAGGTCTTAGATAAATTAATTTCCCCCACTCATTTAAGATCAAATTAATCTATCATTTTGACCTTTTTGATGTGATAGCATTTATCCCATTACTGCTAAGGCTGTAAGTGAGAACTTGCCTTCCTGACAATGTGAAATATAGCTATCAGGCTTGCAGGAGTCTGACATGTAGGCTAATGCATAATAAGGTAAGAGGATCCAGCCACTTTCTTACCTCATGCGGCAGTGTGCTTGTGTATGTGTGTATTTGTGTCAGCCCATATGAGTGTGTGAAAAATAGAGATAGTGGGAGAGAAAGCCTGGAGCTTACCCATCTTACATAGGTGTCAGACCTCACAGCTTCAGAACAAGTGTTGACAGAGCAACACTCTGATCTTATTGTGTGAACTGCACACAGTCTATAGTGTGCACAGGGCCCCAGTTACAGGGATGGATTGCTGCCAACAATGGAGAAATGTTGGAATATGAATGTCATGATGATGAAATCTGTTCTAATTTATAATCAATACGAGGTTTTGTTATTTCCATTGTGTTTGCTGTGGTTGGAAATGCTCTCCTTTCTGTGCTACTGAAAAATGGTGGTTGTCAGCTTTGCATGTATGTGATCGACAGTGCCGATATAACTTAATTATTAGGTAACACAGTATAAGATTTAAGACTACATGATTGGCCAATTATGTTTTTATTGTATACCAATAACTGGTAAGTAAAACTATTTGTGTTAAAGAAAGTTACATAATTTACCGTTTGCTAAATCGGTAAATTAAGCCACTCCCACGAAGAATTGTCCAATCATAGCTGACAACTTTAACTAGGCATAACAGGCCTGTCGAGCTTTGGGTTTCTCCACATTGTTATTAATTTATAACCCTTTCCAAAACCAAAAATATAAAATGGGTAAGTAATGGATTGCATGTTTTTCTGTTCTAATGTAAGCTGTAAATGTTAGCATATCTCCGGCTAATTATCTTTCTACCTGGTACTAACCCAGCATTACTTTCTAGGCCAGGGACTTTTCAAACTATAATATTTTTTTCAAGTTATAGGTTATGTTAATAAAAGTAAGCAAAAAAAAACTCCTCACAATTACATAATTATCAAGTACATGTTCAAGACAAACAAGTCAACTTTAAACATTAATAAGTAAGCCGGAGAGAGCATTTATAACCAGTTTCAACCAAACAGTAAAGCTAATGTAAAGCTTAATTAGCTTGATTGTTGTAGCTGATAGAGCAGTTGTCATTTCAGATGGTTTGTGGCAAGAATTGAGAAGCCTGTTTTTGTCTACCACTCTCTGAAATCAAGGACCTATTGTTTTCCAAATTACAAAGAATTTCTTGTAGTACATCTTCCATTGTTCTCATTATACACTGAATATGTATTGTGCAAGAATGAAAAGTTTGACAGACAGAAGCTATGTTCCAATTCATGGACCGAATCCTTCAGATGATCGTCTCAGTTCAGTTCGGCATTCGTGGTCTGCAACGGCCACAAAAGCCTCCCCTTACCTATGCGTCACAAAGCACCTGAGCTGAAACCCAATACTTACATTTAAAAGTGTAATCCTCTGTTTGCTGTTATATTATTTTCATTACCGGCGTGCAATGAATCTTGGGATAGGTTGGGCCATGGAGGAGCCACCTGTTGGAGCGATCACTCTTCAAATGCATGAAAGTCTGCTTTAATTGAACATAGAAATAGAATTTTAAATGTGTCTTTTTGTCTTATCACACAGGCTCGATGGGTGGTGAGCGGAGCTCTGGACCAATCCGGTGCCAGCGATGTCGTGAAGTCTGCAAAGGGGAGGTGGTACGAGTACAAGACACCCACTTTCACGTCAAGTGTTTCACCTGCACCGGTAAGAAATGGGAACTTGATCCGGAACAACACAACACAGCAAGCACTAGAGCAGACAAACGGCTGAAGTGATCAGAGAAACAGGTGTTGTCTTGCAAAGTCCCTGGGCCTGGATGTCCCTGCTCATAAATGTTGTTAAAGTTATATAAGTGGGACTCAGATTCCAGTGGTAGAGCAGAAACTAGACATCTATCATGGTCACATCCTTACCCTTCCTACACACACTCCCACATGCACACATTGACAGATATACTCTGTATGCGCTCATTCATCTACCTCCCGGTGTACATGCTGAGTGCTACTATTAGCCCACAGTGAGGATTGGAACGGATCAGAGGTGCCTTGCAGGGGGCTTAGGCTCCTGCTAAAGTAGCTTGTTATTGCGCTGCCAACTTGGCGGGGATTTTCACTCGTTGTATGCTGTGGTCTAATGAGACTGTCTTAACCAGCTTTGCAGAGCTACAGGTGCGCACTGGTGACCTACAGCACACACAGCGCTGACATAATTGCACATCCCCTTACAGCAGGAATAGTGTGGGATGTACAGTATTTGTGAGATTGCTGGGTTTATATATCTGATTAAATAGTTCGACATGGTGGGAAATACATGTCCAGCCAAGAAACTAGTGAAAGTCTTACTTTGCGAATATAGATCAAATATAGGTTGTTTATTAGAAACTAATATGGAAGTCTGCAAAAAAATATATTTTTACATTAAATTTTTGCTCTGTTTAGCTCTCATTTGTGGGCTCTGTAGGCAAAACGTTTTACTTGAGTTTCATGGTGCAAGCTGTATCAATAAAAGAGTCAAATTTAGGAAGCTGATGATCTGATGAATAGGATGCTCTTTTTTTTCTTTTTTATTTGGCTGAGCAAGACCGCAGGAAAAAGTTGTCTGCAAAAAGGGTCCTTTTCAGGCAGCGAGCTGACATGTAAAATTGCAGACATTTGCAGAGTTAAGTGCAGGTCTGAAAGGGGCTTATGACAGTCGAGTATCTGTGCATATGCAAATTAGAAATCAAAGAACCGAGAAATGTTATTTGTCATGCTGCTGTACGGCCTGGAGCAAGTGTTCTCAGTTTTATGTTAATAGTGCTATTTCTGAAGCAAAGACAGTCAGTCATGGGTTACTCTTCAGTCATTTGCAGATGACTCTGAAAAAAGCAACATTAAGCAAGATTAAGAGGAAATGTGTACTCAACAGTCATCTAATCACAGGCATTTATTGCATAATGAGGAACTTATCTAACATAATTTTAGATAAATCTTTCCTCCACTTTGTTCATCACTCATTATCATCTCTCATGGGCTCAACTGAATTATGTTGACACACTGGCAGAGTTGTATTATTGAAGGCCAAAGCATTTTATGGTTCTCTGATGTAAGTACACTGTGGGTTCGTCTCAATTCAGGGGCTGCATCCTTCGAAGGCTTGAAGACTGATTGTGTTACAGCTGGGCGACAAGGCTGTCCCATTTCAAGGCTCCTTCAAATGCGGTCGAGAAATGTGTCCTGCCTTTTCCCGGGAAATTAAGGATCCAATATTTAATAAATTGTAATATAGATAGTATCATAATGCTAGAAACTTCCCTTTTGCATCAAACTATCTCAACATAATCGTATTAGTTTAATATTTATTTAAATAATTTCAGTTCAATACAGATGAGGCAAAAAAACAAATTTTTAAGATTTATTCTTTCAATTTGTTTTTCATTAGACTGAGTGATACTGTTACTTATGTCTTTATACCAGCTTCATTTCATTTTGTGCATCTTAACACATGTAGGCCCATATACACTTAAAGAAAAACTTTTTATAGTTAATGCTTCAAAGGACTCAGTCATCCTGGGCAATCTTTTAAAGCTGGGTTTTTATGTAAGTCATGTCTTCAGCAGCTGTTGTCAGAGCGAGGAGAGGAAGCTGAGTGAGTTGTGGTTGTTATTGTATGAGCTGCACTACACTGTTGTTGCACATAAAGCCGTTCTACAGTAGATAAACTCACTGAAGGCTATTCATTGGAGGGTTGTTGCTACATGTTCCCTACGTGTAGCCGTTACACACAAGCTTATAGTGCACACATACACACACGCACTCGTGCATACGAGCGTGCGCATCCATACATGCACGCACGCTCACTATGTGAGTTGTGAGGGGTTGCTGTGGTAACGGTGTGAAGGGGCACCCGGGCCCTGGTTGGTGGATATTCTCAGCATCTCTATGGTGCTATTAACCAATCGGAAGGCTCTATTCTGTGCCCCGGAGAAAACAGGGGGTGAACACAGGAAGCCGGCAGACAAGGGAAGAAGAGGGGGGATGGGGGTACTGTTTGTCGCCTAAACATTACATCATCACTTGAGTGTAATACCAGTCTGATTCTCTTCTTCCTTTCCCTCTCAGCCACTTCTCTCACAGCAGCGTTAAAGTAATGGAAAACTGTCAGCGATGAGCATCATGTTAAATACACCTATCAGACAGCCCTCCCCTCTCATCTTCCAGAGAGTTCTCCTCATCCCATGAGGCAGTGGGGCACTATTGTGCGGCCAGGCTCTGCCACATCCCTGCCCGTAATATGCTCTCCTGTATGGGGCTCTGCACAGCCAGCACTTTTCTAAAGCTTTTATTGTTCGGTGTGTAAACCCCCCTCCTCACACACAAACATGTTGTATGTTCTTTTGAACTTCATAAACTCCATCTACTCTATATTGTCTCTGTTGCTATTGTGTGCTTTTCATTAGTCCCCCTGTATATTTTCTGAGGCTGAATAGCTCTGAATGAAATAACAGGACGTAAGATTGAATTTCTATATTTTTCCATCTCGCTATTGCTTTTCTTTTAGTTTTTCTCCCTCTCCCTCTGTTTCTTTCTCTTGCTTTCCACTCTTTTTTTCCTGATGACAGTCACCCAAGCATGAAATCAATTTCTCATCTTGGGACAGGATGACATTGGCATGCAGGGCATGCGATTTGGAGGCTAATGGCTAAACTGTATTATACCATTGCACCAGAGTGACAATCCACTGCCACCAGCCAATTGCCTTATCTGTCAGACATGTTTATAAACTCTGTGATTGGGGTGTGTTTCAACATTTGATTTCGTTCTTGGCGGGGCAATTTTTTTAAAGAGGATCAGCGTGTTTACCCAGGTTATTGACCTTGACCAATGATATTGTGTCCGCCACAGTTCAATCATTTCCACTGAAAAACCATGACATAAAATCTTAGTTATTTTCCCGATTTCCTCCCTCTCCTCTTTTTCTCTTTTATTTCTGTCTCCTTTTTTCTCAAAAGGGCTGACTATGCCCCACTGACCAGATTGTGATCACTCAGCCCTAAATGGAGACACACTCAGAGACACTGTGAGCACACACATTCACTTAGCATGTAGAAATACATACATCCGTCCTGTCCACACTCTCTCAAGTCACATTACCTTACGAATACCACATTATCATAATTCCTCTGTCACGCATTAGTCAGAGGAACAGATCACTAATCATGTGCGTTTAACCTATTATACAGCAGCTGATTAGAGCATGAAAAAGCCGCCACACAATCAACTCGAGAAAGGAGTCTGTGGAAAATGCTGAAGACAGAAGCCAGCTCACAGCTTGATGCATCAACTCCAGACACAGAGAAGGCAGTGGGGGTGTATTTGTGGATTATGTAGATCCCGTAGCACTTCTCAGTGAAGCGGTGGGCTGTAGTGTGTGGACGATGTGGTGTTGTATTACCGGCAGACGGACTGACTCGTGCATACTGGCCTAATGACATAGTGACCACATTCACCCCGCCTCTGAGGAATAATTGGCACTCTTAGATTCCAGTAGAAACAGCGAGGCCTGTCAGTGGCACGAGCGCAAAGCTAACAGACATAAATCAAGGGCAAAATAGACATGTGTTTCCTGTGAAAGTCAGCTCACATGCTAACACAAAAGAAAACACAGAGGCAGAGAAACAAATATACAAGCAGAGACGGATGCAAACACAGACACATTCACACATAAACTGCTAAGCTGCTCCCAGTAGTTATTTATTTTCAGAGACAAAACAGATCTCTCTCATAAAACAGTGCTAAAGGGAAAAGCAGATTTACACAGACAGGTCAGATAAATACTTGACTGCTCTGCTAATGCTCCATTTTTAACTGGTATTCTCACCAGGGCTCTTGTAAAATTGCAGCATCTTTGTCTCTTCTCTGCGGACCTGATACAGTCAGTCCAGCCTCCCTTTGGATGCCATTAGCCCCCATCACTCAACCTCGGTGTTAATAACATCAACCTACTGTACTGTGCCTCTCTTCTGCTCTCTGAAGGCGAGGGAAAGACTAGAGAGAAAGCTAGTGGGAGGAAGGGAGGGGAAAAGATAAATAGTACGAAGAATAGAGAGAAAAAGAAAGAAAGAAAGGTTATGAGGAGAAACAGAAAGAAAGACACAGCACAGAAAAAAAGTGGGGGTTACAGGGAAGGGGAGCTTCCTGTAGCTATAGCAACCACTGGTACGCTGGTCCAATCACCACGCCAGTGCCTGGTTGCTAGGGAGAGATTCCGGCGGAGAGAGAGGGGAGCGCGGCAGGCAGCGGCGCTCTTCCCCGACAACTCTCCAGGATCCAGGATAGATGACAGGGATTATTCCTCCGCTTGTCTCTCTCAAGCGTCACTGTCCTGAGGGATTTTCACACGCTGATGCCCTGCCTATTGTCTTTGTGTGTGTGTGTGTGTGTGTGTGTGTGTGTGTGTGTGTGTGTGTATGCCATGGTGAGTTGGAGACGCTTAAGTGTGCAAGTGTCTGGCTCAGTGAAGGAGTGATTTCTGAATGATAAAGAGGATCATTAAGCAACAAACCCTGCTGTGTTGAACAAACACACACATGCACACACTAAACCAGCAGATCTGTACACAGTGCTGGAGCTGTGGAGTATTTTTATTGTGTATTACAAGGCCCCATCTCTAGCAGTTTGGTCGTCTGTGTATGTGTGTGATCTCATTCACGCCTATTTTCCCCT